CCACGAGCAGAGGAAAAGACCCTGAGCCTGCATGGAAAAAGAAGGAAGCTCATCAGCTCAGCCCCCAGCTCACACTCCAGCTGAATACAGCATACCCGTGACTACCGGCAAGAGTCACAGAAAACCCACTGGGTGAAGCCAAGCCTAGTTGACACAACTGTGAGAAAACAAAATAGTTGTTGTTTAAATTACTAAGATTTAGGGAGGTCTGTTATGCAACAACAGATACATAAAAGAAAAAAAAAATGACCCCAAGAATTTGGGCCTGAGCACCCAGAAGGATGGACTTACCATTAACTAGATGGAAAAGGCTGCTAGTGAACAGGTTAGGGGAAAAAACTTGGGTGGACAGATTAAAATCTTACTACTTATAAATGAAGAAGAACATATTTTTCTTAATATATTAGAAGAACACAATCTTCTGGGGCGCCTGGGTGGCTTAGTTGTTAAGTGTCTGCCTTCGTCTCAGGTCATGATCCCAGGGTTCTGGGATCAAGCCCCATATCAGGCTCCCTGCTCCACGGGAGGCCTGCTTCTCTCTCTCCCACTCCCCCTGCTTGTGTTCCCTCTCTCTCTCTCTCTGTGTTTGTCTCTGTCAAATAAATAAATAAAATCTTAAAAAAACAAACAAACAAACCCACGATCGTCTATCTTTTAAGCATTGCTGGATTTTCCAAGGCCAGGAAAGGCCATTTGAGGAGCAAACTTTTGGACCTCTGGCATAATGGCAACAGCAGTGATTAAAGGAATTGTTTAGATTTTTTTTTCTATCCAGGTTCTGAAGCTCTGCTGACAATCAGTGAAATCCCCATCAGGGCCGAGAAACCCTAGCCCAATGTTTCCAGCTTCGCCACTGTGGTTTCAGGCTTTGGTGACTCGACCACGTAAAGGAGAAACCACCGTGCTTGCTTTCCCCGCTGCTTTCCGCAACTGGTCACAATGAACCACCCTGGGCTTGGCTGATGGGCTTCTGGAAGCTGAGTGCACAGCCTCAGAGGGAGGCCCTTCCAGTTTTAGATTTAATCCTTCCTGTGGCCATACACTTCAGAGACAGCAGTATGTGGGCACAGAAAAACTGCCTGGTCACTTTGGTCAGCCTGTAGGTCTCCGATGATAGGCATCTGGACTAATATAAACTTGAACCCAAATTAAGTGTTGGGGAAAAGCAGTGTATTCCTTAAGAATTCTTAATGCCCCATAGCAAATATTAATGTAAAAGGATTACTTTTATGGTGTCAGCCTCCCGCTCATTCACTCCCAACCTGTATAGCCTACTGCATTTACCCACCCACATCTCCTTCCCCTGCTTAATCAGGATTTGGGAACGGTTTAGGATATGGCTAAAGTAAAACAAATTAATCATATTCACGGGGGCTTATATCTTCTGGGCTCAACCTTTCCTTGGGCTAGTGTTCCTGGGTTGGAGGAGTAGTTTCCATGCATAGTCCCCTTTTGGTTCTCCACACGACGACTCACTACTGGAACCTTAAGTTGGATGGGAGACTGGGCTTCAAGGCACAGAGGGATTCACAACGTTGAACAATTGTAGGGCTTATGTCAGAAAAAAGTGGATGTGCTTGACTCAATAAACATTTTGTTTTCAGAAAAATGTTGGGAGGCATTTTTTAAAAAAATTAACCATAAAATTACGTTGGTGATATCCAGGCTTGAGAAATGACATCCCGAAAGTGGGTGCCATATTGGTTGTTACAGTGTGGTCATCATGGAGATGTGTTCATGACGTGGGGACACTGGCTACCACTGTTTGGGTCTTTTCAAATCTCTTAAAGTCATCACACACCTTTGGCTATGGTTTCTTCCGAGTACCAGTAACACAATTCTAGATTCTTTCCCTTGAGGAGTTCTCACTCCTTGATGGACTGCTGCTCTTCAGCTTGTTTTTTCCCCACCTCCTTAAAAGTATGCGCCTGTCTCCAGCTGTCTGGTGCCTGCCATTACTGACCAAGCTGTGAACTTCCTTCCACTTCTGTGGCACATCCAGACTTATCACTTGGAGAATGTTCAATCAGATATGATGGATGAAGATGGTTCATCAGGAGCACAAGGCAGGAAGAGACTCCAGTGCAGGGCCCAAACAGACTGGTGAGTCCACCCTCTCTGCAGAAGAGGGTATAAAGGCCCATCAAGGCCTCCTGGCCAAGGAGAATGGAATGTTTCTTAGTTTCAAGTCCCCAAGAAGCAACCTTGGGACAAGGTGGCAAATGCAAGTAGTTCATCTGGGAGATGACCCCAGGACACACAAATAGGGGAGCAAAGAAGGGTACAGGGAAGGGAAGAAGGCCAACATGAGGTGTATTTGTAAGTCAACTACCACAGAGGGCAACTGAAGCTTAATTTCTGTGGGAAATCTCAAAAATAGAGTGAAACATGTACCCCAGACTTATACCACCCAAGAAGCAAGGCAGTGAGTATATTTATACAACGTCTGTTCATCACTGGTTGAGAGCTGCTCTTGGAGCATGCTGATTCCCAGGCATTTCTGGCCTGCTGTGTGCAGGTGCAGCTTTCTATAGTTCCCGAACAAGTCCTCAGGCGTAGAGGTGCAGACGCAAGCCTCTAAATGTTGTCTGGGGAACTCTGAACTGGAGAATCAACGGGCAATGACAGTGGTCTGCTCCAGACCCTTGCTCAGCTGGCTTTCACTGGCAAATCAGACCTTGCCACGGTGCTCACTGTGTGGACCTGTGGCCGGAGAAAGCAGATGCTGACTGTACCGTTAGGACTGGGGATGGGTTTCTACAGAAGTCTTAGGATAGAATATAGGTACTGAACAGCACTAACTGAACCAATAATAAATGAGGTAATTCTTGTAAGTCTGGACATCCTTCTATGATATTCTTAAGTGAAAACATCAGGTAATGTAAACCCATTTCGGTGTTAAAACTTAGAAAATTCATGCATAAAAAGTCTATAAGGATACAAGATAAAGTGTTATTAACTGTTGTCTCTAGGGAAATGGGGTTATGAGTTAATCTTTTTTTTTTTTTTTGCTTTCTGATGTTTTGTAATGAGCATGAATTGCTTTTATAATAACAATGACCAGATTTTTTTTTTTTTTAATGCCACAATAATACAATCTCAAGATTCAGGAATAATTTCAGGACTTTTCTAAATGTTCCCTTCTTCAAATCCTCCTTTCCTCCCTCCCCCCTTTTACCTGTGCTTCAAAACAGAATTACAACGCTGCTTATTTGCAGGTGACTGCAATGTACCATCACCACTCTCAAACATGGGACAAAGTGAGCAATTAGGCAAAAAAGACTTTTGAGCAGCCAAAGAGAAGTCCCCACAGCCGTAAGCTAAAAGTCATCCATTTTGCTCACAGACAAGCGCCACAGACTAGCATTTAGGACTTACTTACATGTACTTTGTACACAGTTCTAACAGACACTGCTCTCAGACTTCAACTTCACAGTTCAAAGAAGCAGGGGAAAAGGGAGGAAGGGCCTGCCCTCATCAGACACACAGAAGGCAGTGAGAAGAGGCAGAGCTGCCAAGTGAGGAGGATGGGCCTAGACAAGGCCTTCAGGCCTCAGCACTGGGCATGGGCGCTGTGGGTGCCATGCCTTCCATCTCCTCGCCACTTCCAGAAAACTCCCGTTTCCAAACCCAGAGCAGAATCACAGGGATGGCCTTGAGGAATCCAGACCAGGCTTACTTATACTCAGGAGAACCAAGCATCCAATGATCAGGGCTTGAAAAGAAGCAGAAGATAGGCATACAGTAAAGATCATCCGTGTTAAAATACTGCTTCAGCATCTTGGTGATATAAGCCAGACTAGGGAATGAGGTTACTTTCTTATCTCTTTTGACCCTTTCTACTTTTGTGTGAAATGAGGTTGATTATCCTCTGGTTCCAGGATCTGCTCTTTAATATCTGATCTGATCACTAAGGAACTTATACCACACATTACGTTTTTGCCTCCATGATTCTGAGTATCACTTTTTTTTTTTTTTTTTGCCTCCTGGTTTGACACTATTCCTTAAATTAAAAAAAAAAAATAGGAATTGGAGAATAAAGTCTTAACAAACTGTTCTTGGAGGGGCTGTGCTCTTTTACACTGACCAGTTTTTAAACTCTTCATAAAAGGGGTTTTTAACAAGCCCAAACTTTTAAATATGAGTAGAATAAAGTCAAAACAAGATGAAAAGAAATGGCATTCCTGGTGAAGTAGGTCAGATGATTTTCAGACTCCAAAGTGTCCTGATAGTTTTATGTGATCCAGTCCAGTTCCTCAAAAAACCCTGCCAACAGGTAACGGGTCTTTGAAAGCTTTTGAAGCCAAAGGCTCCCCACCAGCCAGCCCATCGCTTACTAAGTTCTCAGCCTCATTAAGAATGAGAAACAGATACCACGACACCAACCTGTCTACGGGAACACAGCGAGACAAATGTAATTGCCTGTACAAGGAATATAAATCAGCAACTCCCAAATCATTCATATTTACACCCACTCCATTTTGGTTGTCTTTCCTTTATAATTTGGCCATACATCGATGTCAAGTGTATAATTTCATCTGGGGCTTTATCAGTTACCGCCCAGAGCCATGATTATATGGTGCAGGGAACTTCCTCTCCCTGAGCAAGGCTATCTTTAGTATCTTCTTGATAGCCACTTCTTACACAAAAAATCAAAAGGAAAGTCTTGGTTTCCTTATGTGGCTCCAGAATCACGAAATATAACATTTAGAAGCAATTTATCAACTGAAACCCTTGGGTTTTCAGCTGCCACTACAATTTTCCAAAGCAGAGTGTTCTTATTCCTTCCCTTTGTTATTTTTTTATCAACCTGCAATAAAAACTTTAGGGATCCTGATACTGACCATTCAATCATGAACAAAGTTCAACTTTCATCTTGTTAGTGTCCAGCCTAACTGCACAAAGACTGGTTTTGAACTATCAGAATCATAGCAAAAAAGATAAAGGTATGATTTCTGGAAGAAGTAACTTTTTACAAACAAAATAAAAAATGGCTCTCCAATCTAAGATTCAAAAGATAATTTATTAGTCTGAGAAGAGGAGTCACACACTATACCCAGTAATATGCTTCTTTTATTTTTGTGCCTTTATCTTAAAAATATATTTAAACAAGAAACAAAGATAATATTGAATTTTCCCATAAATTTTGCTTTCTTATTTACAGTGTTACATTGTAAATAACATTCCATTATACACAAATTAAGGACTGTGCATTCCTGTATGTTCTCTTTACATATTCTCTCATTATATAGTACATATAGCTTGAAGATATGCAGTATTTAAGCTTAGAAAAGCTTGAGGAAAGAAGTACAAACTTTATCAATAAGACTATTATTTAAAAAGGTTCTGACCTTAATTCTCTGCTAGATTGTTTCACTGAAACCATTCTTTGTTAAAGAAAAATGCCCCATATGAGGGATGAGAATAACAGTTTAAGTTACCACAGGATCCACTTAAACTGGTTAACAAATAAAAACACTTTATCACTTAGTACTGTTATTAAATGGAGCACTAGCACTGTCAAATCATTTAAACATGTAGATTTACTCTTCAGTTCAGACACATCACATCAACGACAGCTGGTACCTCTGTGTGAAATCAAAAATGTTTCCTTTGCAACTTTAGGTTTTACTTGTAAACAGTAAAGCACACATTTTGTAAAGATGATTTAATCATTCCTGGTCATAGGTTACACAATAAGGAGCTCGTATTTCATCGAGAGAGAAGCAGGCACACGCACTGCACGCGCGCGCACACGCGCACACTCAGTCCCGCGCACCCGCCGAAGACCCGCATGTCACTAAGCGCGAACTGCAGCAGCGAGCCGTGCACGAGGCTGCAAAGAGGAATTATAAAATGGCGAAGATAAAACATCCAACTTCAGTTAAAATCCCCGAAACGCTCACGCTCTGAAATGCCTCTCGGACGCTTCATGCTCAGCCTGAAGGGTCAGTTCACCGGGCTCTCCAGGCGGCAAACCCCGCCTTCGATTGCCACGGACTGTCCCGCCACCGCACCGGGAGGGAGTCTTGAAATGTGAGTCTGCAGAGAGGGAGACAGGAGAGCGTTAGAAGTGCCACCGGTGTCCTCCCGTAAGTGACAAGGGCGGAGGAAATACCAGAACGCCACAGCCTCTCTTTGCTTCTCAGGATCTACAAACCCTGATGGTAACCTTTAAGTGCAGAGAGATCCTGTCTGGTCAAATCTTGCAGGGGATGTTTACTGAGCATCTACTATGTGCTAACTAAGCACAGCACTGGCAACGGCAAGTACAGAATGAACAAGATAGCTAAGGCTCCTGAGAGCACAGAACTTATAATTTAGTCATGAATTCAGAACAGTAATTAATTGTTTGAAGGCCAACTTTATCAAGCATATTCTAGTTCTCTGAAAACTAATCATTTATATACATTTTGTCTTCCAAAGCAACTGAGAATACCTGATTCACGTTTACATTTTATTCCCTAAGGGATTTGAATAGCTTGCAAAAATTCAGATAATTCAACAACCTAAAAAGTGAGGCAATGAGACTGAAAGAAAAATAGAAGCTTACAAAATAAGGTAAAGACAGGCATGAGATTAACACACAAAATCTCGCCTGAGTTCTGTACCCATGCTAGAGGCAGCCTGCTGCCCCATCCCTCAGTTTCTTCATTCCATGACCAGAGAGTTGGTTCATGTGTGTCCAGGATCACAACAAACCAACTGCTCAGAAGGGAATAACAGTTCCTGGTACAAGGCCCGGGAACTCTCTCTCTTACGGGGCTTCATACACAGTAGGTACCACGTTTAGTGGGTGAGTGAAGACATCAGTTGTACCAAGAGGAGTTTTGTAGGGCTGAGGGTTAACTTTACTCAAAGGACGCTGCCCTGATGGAAGATTGTAAAAGCTGTTCCATAAGGGTCAGGATGATGTCAGCCAGGAATTCCTTTTTTTTTGATCATCCGGCTTAATCCAGGGATAGATAAATGTCGGGAGCTTCTAAGAAGAACAGAAGGACTGCATATCCCTTAGGTAATCCTCTCTAATTCTGCTACTCTAAACAAGTTTTTCCTAAGGACCAAACAGAAGTGAGTTCGAGCCCCGGGTGAGGCTGTTTGGATGCAGCCAGCAAAGTGGCCAAGCCTAGAGTGGGAATGATGTCCTCTCATGCAACCAAATATGAAACAAGCCTATGTTTTAGATGGAATGACAGCTAAGCTAACTGATTTGTAGTTGGAGGGTAGACAGTATTCTTGAATCTCACTGTGCAAGTCCTTTTAGAGGAGCTAACATAAGTCAACAATTTGGAAAGTTCTAGAGAATAGGAACTGTTCTCTAGGCACTGAGTTTTTCTGTGTGCAAGGCAGGAAGCAACATGTAACCTACAAGGGTGAGGTCTGTTGCCTCAGGTAGAGAGCTGGGTGAGGTAGTCTCTGTGGTATCTCCTGGAACACAAGTATCAGTGAGTTCACTCACTAGGCTCATGCTTCTGGGAACCGTGTCCCAGAATCTGGGCTCATTATTACATCTGAGGGCCAAACTTGGATCTCACCATATGGATACACTGTACCTGAGGAGTCCATAGTGGGAAAGCTTGTGGCTCTATTGTTTCTTTATTCCTCATTTAACCTAGCAGGAGTTAGAACAGGGTGCTTTGTTTAATTCTGCTACCCAGCAGTCTTTGTCACACCAGGCACAAAAATCTCAATTCTCACAATTCTCAGGGTTCAATATTGATGGGGCTACTTTTATTCCTCCAGGAATTCCTTAACATGAGGTGAAAGAGAATTTTTTTCCCTAGATACCATTCTTTTTTTTTTTTTTTTAAGATTCTTCTAAACAAAACAAAACAAAACAAATCCCTGAAAGAGTAGAAGTCCCTTGGTCAATTTCATCCCTAATCTCACCCTTTCCAGTCATGAATACGGTCATGCAGCTATGACAGGGATCAAGAATGAGGCAGAACCCCAGTGGAAAACAGTATGGGGATTCCTCAAAGAATTAAACATAAAATTACCATATGATCCAACAATTCCACTTATGGATATATACCCCCAAACAAGTGAAAGCAGGGACCCAAGAGCTAAAAGGTGGAAACAACCCAAGAGTTCATAAACAAAATGTGACATATAGTATATACATGCAATGGACTATTATTCAGCCCTAAAAAGGAAGGAAGTTCTGACACATGCTACAACATGGATGAACTTTGAAGACATTATGCTAAGTGAAATAAGCCAGATATAAGATAACAAATATTGTAAGATTCCACTTATATGAGATATCTATTAGTCAAGTTCATAGAGACAGGAAATAGGATGGTGTTTGCCAAGTGTTGGGGGAGGGGGAATGGGCAGTCACTGTTTAGTGGGTACAAATTTTCAGTTTGAGAAGATGAAAAAGTTCTGGAGATGGATGGTAGTGATGGTTACACAACAACATGAATGTACTAAATGCCACTGAACTGTGCATTCAAAAATGGTGAAAATGGTAAATTTTGTTATGTATATTCTACCATAATAATAATAAAGAAAAGAATAAAGCAGAAATGACAATTTCCTACCTGGTCGAGAATAATATTCCACATGATAGCATTAAGAAAAGAGGCTAGCTAGGAATGAATCTACAGTGCAGACCCCCGTAGAAGAAGCATCAACACCATCAGGTTCTGTTCACAAATAGATTGGAATTCTCCAGTCAGGTCTGTTAAAATATCTGTCCCCTAAGAGAGAAGCTCACAGGAAAATCTGTCTTCATGTTTCCCAGAGATCCAGGGAGAGTCCAGTGGGACCTCCTGGCAGGCCTGGCCATCCAGGCATCAGAGAATAAATTAATTGTTTAAAGATCAAAGAGTGAACATATGTCCAAGCAGATGGCCTGCAACTTGACCAGGGGGATCCTGGTCTTAAAGAAACTGATTTCCTGCTGACCAAGTTAAAGACCAGAGCTAGAAGGAAGAAATTTTTGCCCTATGGACCAGAGGGCTTGATAGCAATCCCTTGAGATTTACAAATACACAGAGGGCCAATTCAAACTTATCTCTGACACTGCCCCAATCAGGTTTATGATAGAAGAACATCTAAATAAACTGAGCTAAACTACAAAGCATCAAGGAGAGTTAGGAAGGAAAAGAAAAAGGATTGGAAAAGATGACAGTCATCTTGAGACAATCTGTTAACAGTACATGGACAAAATGCTTCAAAAACACATTGAGGTTCATATAAATTTTGCTGTTTACATAAGACAGAAATGCTCAACTAGACAAGCTAGTTAAGATTAACTTCTCAGGATTACCCCCTCCCCAAATCATCATCTAGTCAAGAGGGATTTTGTGATTACAAAACACATTGGCGTGATCTTGGTTTTGAGAGCAATAAAATGGTTAACCATCTGTCCGAATGACAGTACTTCCCCAGCTTCATCCATCAACATGATCTTCTGACTCATCAGAAAATAACTGCCCTTGGTCTGAAAACATTTGAGCCAGGATGTATTTGAAGCTTTCTGTGGGAATTTCAATGGAGCATCAAATCACATTATGAACAGTGGGAGCTGTTTAAGAGAATGTTTTATATGAGTATTCATCTTGAAATGCTCTTTTAGAGAAGTGGGTTGGAATTCCTCTTGTGGCTAAAAAGAGACCATTTTCTACAATGAACTTATATGCCAGCATTGAAAAGTGCAATAAAGTATTTTACATTGTCTAAGGACTGTGTAGACTCTCGGGTACCCTACAAGCATTAAGAATTTAACAAGGTGTCTTTAAAACCATTTAAATACCAATGTACTTTTATGAAAATTAAGAACTAATGATAAATAGCCCATAAAAATCGTATATGAAAAAGCAGCAGATGAGTTCATTTTGGGTTGTTTTCCTCCACTTCTTGTTGCATGCTCTACTCATATACCTGTCTAACCATGATTCCATGTCTCCAATGTCCTTTTCTGGGTCTTTTTCAAGTAAAGACTTCCTTGACTGGATCCCCAACTCAATCTAGAAGCTCTTCTTCTAGCTCTTGTGGCACCCATCTGAGCATTTCTTGTCCTGTTATGTAACTGCCTTGGTTCTTGGTCTGCTTTGAATTTTTAGCTTCTGTAAGTGAAAGTCAATAGGAGGCAGGAGCTGGTCTTACACAGGCCTCTGTATTCCTTGCACCTGTCAAAGTGCTTGACCCAGAAGGCACACTCTGGAAATGCTTACCGAGTGAAGTGACTAAAATACACCCTCAAGGGGCTATACTTATGAAAGCATAAAGAATCTCAAGTGTTTTAACTAGTATGACCAGCCAGTTTGATTAAAAAGTCAAACTAGTTTGTCATAGCAAATTCTTTAAAATAGATTTTTTTTTTTTAGACTGACTAAACTTTTCCATTTTCCAAGTGATTGTGTTGTTAGAACAGAGATGGAGCTTTAGATTTCTCAGATGCTAACAGCTCCATACCAGTGGAACCCACTGGCTTTACACTTAAAATTCTCTGCTTTCTTGCTAATTCCCTGACCGACACACAAAGATCCTTGAGGTTAACATTCCTTGAAGAATGATCCACTTATAAATTAAACTAATTCAAAGCCAATATTCTTATGCCTATATCTTGTTACAAAATCAAACATTGTATAATAACAAATTTAGTCTAAGATTTTAAAATGAGAAAGTTAAAGAAAAAAATATCATAGAAATTATATAATCTCTTGATGTCTTAATCACAATCTAAGTAGTAGTTGAGACTTCCTATCATTCATATTCATGTCTTTAAATCTCTTAAGACCACCTTAGTGACTGTTCTTTTGTGGTTTCTAGGAAAATTCGAAGCACATGATTTAACTTTAAAAGTCTCAAAGCCTTTATTTAGCGGTTATATTTTAATCCATCTTTCCAGTCTTAGGAGAATTGTTGAGATCTACCACAAGAGTCAAGGGAAGAGACTCTTAAACAAGTTATTATCCTCCTTTGGTGAGATCAGAAAAATAAAATCTGGACAGACACGGTCCAAAAAAAGCCTTGGAAATATTTTATTCATTGGTTTCATAATTCTGAGGGTTTGGTTTTCTGTTTTTTAA